ATTTAAATAATCAAATATTTATTTTTACACATACTTCTTTAATCTTTACTCTCAAATCATAAGTATTTCATACCAGTCTCGCCTATTTACAGGGTATATAGACCGCCCGCCCGCCAGCGTGCACTGATCTAACTAATTTTTGTTTGTCAAACAATGTGATTACAAAATATGATTTATGCTGGCGTTAAGGCTAGACGCATTTATTTGCCCAGCCACGCCCACAATTAACATTGCACTAAAACCATTTTAAACAGGCCAAAAGCATTTATTAGTTGATTTTCTTTCGCTTGGCTGAATTGTGGCTTTTAATAAAACGAGCTTTTGTTCTCTGGCAAATTTTTTTCTCATTTTTCTTTGATTTTCTTTTTTTTATGGATGCAAGTTTTACAGTTTGGCAAACTACTGCGAACGGCCAGTGGCATTTGGAGTTGAGGTTGAAATTGAAGCCAGCCAGACATTGGCTAGACCATATATCATATATGTATGTATATCTATGTGTGTGTGTGTGTGTGTGTGTGCCTTCATTGTGCGCAGTGCGGCGGCAGCGCCTTTTGATAGACGATTTATTAAGCGTTTATTATTAGTTTTTGCCTTTTGGTGGCTTTTAGAGCATTTTTGATTACAAATTCCAATGGCTGCAGCTAAATGCTGTTATAGCCCGTATAATGGTTGGAGTAAAAATTGTTAGTTAAATACTTGCTGTACGAGCGGAAGATGATAGTCATGGCTGAAAGACTTTAGATTTTTGGTAGATTTTAGATAGAGTGAAGCAGCAAAGCTTAAACGAAAATACTATAGGGCTTAAATTATGCTAAGAAAAATTACAGACCAATACCTTTCTTTTTCAAATATATACAGCGTATTTCTGAGCCGACCTTATAAAAGATTTATTATTATTTTTCTTAAACATTAATTGAAAGAAATGTGGAAATTTGTCGCTAACCAAGGCGCTGCTCTCCATTCACATAAGAAAGGCGCATAATGTAAATGCCGAGCGGCTTTATTTGTGCAACACAAAAGCCGGGCAACAATAATGCACATCAATGGCAGCAACAAAGGCTCGACGCTGCCTTTTAACAGCTCAATATGATGCTTAAGTTGTTGCTTCCTGGGAGTTCTGATTGTGCGAAAATGCAAAACAATTAATGCTGAGAGGTAGGCAAATATGGATGCTGTTGCCAACTGCACACACCTGCCTTTTTGTGAATGTTAAATGTAGCAAGGCATCCTGGCTGTCAAACAATGCATCTTTGTGTCCCAGTTGGAGTTGCTCGACTCCAGAGCTCCCACAGCACAATTTCGCTCATATATGACACATCGGGCGACGGCTGCAGCTCAGGGTCAACGCCAGACGGTCAGGGCCTGGCTGACAGTCCAGACTGACATTAAACTTGCATGAGGCCATTAAAGAAATGAATCCATTTAAGGGCAGCCCAACACATCACGCATATAGTAGCAGTCGGGACTGCACCCAACGTCGTCGTCGTCGTCGTGTAAGTCATTTGTTTGAGGCAACTTTAAATCGCTGCGCTAAGCAAATAATTGATTGAATTTGCGCTGGCAAATTGCAGCAATTTGTTGACATTTCGGAAATTGTTTTCAAATTGCTTCTACAATGTCGAAATTTAGTTTACTCTCACATTAAACTGTTCAATTTCGTGTTTGCGTACCTGCGCAGGTGTAGCATTGAAAATAAAATAAAAATAATAAAAACAGGTGTGCTCGCTTCACATATTACAATATGCACACGTGTCGTATGCGTAATTTGGCTTATCGATTTTGGAATGTCAATGCGTTTAAGTAGTAGTGCCATTTGATTCATTGTTAACTGGAGTTCATTTCAATTTAATATCGAAATGCGAAAAAGTGCTCATTTATTGAATAAAGAAAGCAAAATTAATATATTTAATATATTTAAATTATTTTCACCGTCCATATTATCTTACGAAGAACCGATTGAGGCTGATATATAAATTGTTATAATACACGCAATAAACAATTGTTAATAATGTTGACTTATAATACACATGTATACACAATAAATAGTTGCTAATATTATTAAAATTATTAGTAGTTATTAACAAAATGAAAACTGCAACAAAATAAATATATTAACTCATATAAAGTACAAAATACATTTACATTTATTCGTTTATTATTTTTTTTATTATTAGTTTTATT